CAGGGCTGCCGGGGTGAAGGCAGCGGGTGCGAGGGGACACGCGTGTGTCCCGTCGGGCGCTCAGTCGGTGTTGTGCTCCGGCAGAACGTCCTGGCTGGAGCGCTGTTCGGGCCCTGGACCGGGCTGGTGCTGTGCTCAGCCCTAACGTCTGTGGGAGCGACCTTCTGCTACCTGCTCTCTGGTGCGTTCGGGAAGCAGTTCATCGTCTACTACTTTCCTGATAAAGTGGCTCTGCTGCAAGGAAAGGTAAGAACGGGGCTGGTTCTGCAGACATGCAGAGTGGCCCCTGGGTGAGGCTGCCTTTTGGGCTGACTTTGTAAAACAATGGGAGCGCACAGGTCATGCAGTCAGGTCAGTCAGGGGCCTCTGGCACGACCTAGGAGCAGACTGATGTCTTCGGAGCAAGCCTGATTTCGAAGGGGATGCACGGAAAATCCCAGGTCCCAAAGAAAATCACAGACCGGTTTGAGTTGTGAGAGACCTTAAAGCTCATCCGCTTCCAACCCCCTGACACAGGCAGGGACACCATCCACTAGATCAGGTTGCTCCAAGCCCTGTTCAACCTGGCCTGGAACACTGCCAGGGATCAAAACTAAGATAATGGACTGACTGGGAAGTGCCTATGCTCCAGAACTGTCTCCACCCATTCTGTGCTGTGTTGTACAGCTGGAGGTGGTTCTGCCAGTGACTTCTGGATGTCATTCAGGTTACGGCCCATTTTCACCACTTGAATGGAAGGGGCTGGCTCACCATTAGGCTCACGTACATATATACGTACATAAATTTGCCACTTTTCATCAGTTCTGGACTGCAGTAATGTTGTGGCATCCTAGAAGAAAACTTCACTTCAGTATTACTGGAATACAGGCAGAAATAACTTGGAGCATTTCTCTTGGCAGGTAGAAGAGAACAGGAGCTGCTTATTTTTCTTCTTGTTGTTCCTGCGGCTGTTCCCTATGACACCAAACTGGTTTCTGAATCTCTCGGCTCCCATTTTAAACATCCCTGTGTCCCAGTTCTTCTTCTCCGTCCTCATTGGTAAGGCCGGGGGAGACCGTCTGGGGGGGCAGCGTGACATTGCCTGTCTCCCCATCACCAAGCCTTGGGCAGTATGCTGGGCTGGGGCTCTGCCCCATTGAACCGTTTGCCTTCCTGCTGCCCTTATACTTGGAGGTCTTGAGCATTTTGCAAACACCAATGCAGCAAAGTTTTGAGTCCCACCCTGTTCTTTCCATTATGAACACAGATTCCCGCGTCTGGCCTTGGGCAAGGGTATATCTGAGGTAATTTTACATGGGGGCATTCTGCTCTGATTCTTTCAGGTCTTACACCATATAATTTCATCTGTGTGCAGACAGGAGCCATTCTGTCACAAATCACCTCTTTGGATGCCATTTTCTCCTGGGACACGCTGCTCAAACTGCTCGCGATGGCTGTGGCAGCACTGATACCAGGGACCCTTATCAAGAAGTACAGCAAGAAGCGCTTGAAGCTGGATGAAAACCAGCACACTCAGATACTCAACGGCAAAAAGAGCTTGTGATAGCTCAGGTGCCCCAGATGTTGGGGCCTCGCAACAGGTCTCAGGTTCCTGGGGGTTATATTCTGCATGCTCTGTGCCAGTATGGACCAAGGACAATTGCAGTTTTTATCATTCTTCTCGTCTAAGAGGAGGTGCAAGGTTCTTATTTTTAATGAATGTTTAACTGTGCATGTATCTGCACGGAGAGCACTATACAGGGGCTCTGCGAACACTGCAGTTAATTTGCCTGTTAATTTAAACTGGCCTCTCTCTCCAGCGTGCCTGAGGGTATTGACAACCCCCTGCAAATGTTTTGGCATGGGGATGAAAAATGGGGAGTATTAAGCATCCCATGAGGAAGGCAAGTCAGAACCCCTTAGTTCCTCCTGGCTCTTGAGCAGGGGAGCCAAGCACTGCAGTGTCCCTGCCAGCCCAAGGGACAGGCTTCCCTTGGACTCCTGTCCTTCCTTCCAAATCCAGCTCCATAAGCCCAGCTTGTCCCTCTGATGCAACTGATGTGGCAGCAGACAGCTGGTTTTCTGCTCAGCCTCATCCCTTAGCGCCTTGGAGGCCACAGCACACAGGGCTGTGTCAAGCTGCAACAGCAACTAGTTTTCATCAGTGTTTCCCAACTCTAGGCAGGGCTTGCTCCCTCCTCAAACCCAGATTTATCTAGCATTTTTGGCCTGAAATGAGAAGCCATGCACTTCTGTGCTGTTAGCGTGGTAATATAAGGACCAAGTTGAGAAGAAAGTAATCATGTTTCTGCACCTTCTGTAGGAGAGCTTGTACAGTTGTAGAAGACTATCATTCAGATGTTAAGTGCACTCTGCAGCAAAACTATTCAGGATTCAGGGCCAGCTGTGAGCTGCTGGTATGTACCATTCATATGTCAGAACTCAGGAGATTGCTTCTGTCAGTGGCTGCTACTCCCCACAAAGGCTAAAGGGTGAGAAAAAGAAATAAAGGAATTGATGTGCCTGGCTGGCAGTACCTTTAAAACCTACACATTTGTTCATGTATAACTGGAAGATTTCCAAATAAGCAGGTAGAGTTTGTCCCATTGCTGGAGTATCTTATTAGATACTCTGCTCCTGGGGTTTTGGTGTTTGCACCTCCTTGCTCTACTCTCCACGAGTCTGCCCTCCACTCAGAGGATGAAGTAAACTTCCTGGCATGGATGAGGGCAGATGGGAGCACACAGGAAGATGAGAGTGAATGCTTTATCCCCACCAGCAGGGCTGGAACTGAGTGTGACAGCAAGGTTCCCAGGATGAGAAATCATGGCTGCAGATACAGTCCCCCAGTTGACATTGCAAAAGTCACTCATTTGACAAAGAGCAAAAGGCAAAGCTTAGGGACAACCTAGGTGCTTGATAGGCTAGCTTCCAACCAAGACTTCCCTGCTAGTTGGAACTCCTGGTAGTTTCAGTTCAGCTGTGTTCAGAGACAAGTAACAATTAGTTATTAAAAAGCTTCATGACATCATCCCAAAGTACATGAGAAACCATTCCCACATCACCAAACCAGCCTGAGAAGCATTGAAGTACACTGGCTTTTTATTCCATGCATTGTTTGCTTTGATAGTCATTCTTGTTTCCATCACTGTACACTGTTCAATACAAAAAAAATCAAGTTTGTATCAGGAATCCACAGAGCAGGGAGGAGAGAGATGAACACTACTGGACAGGGCCAAGATGAAATGGTTACTTAGAACACGACAGTGGGGAACGCAACATTCAGCTCTGGGAGAAAATCTAGGCTAGTGTTCAGGAGCTGTCAGCAGCTGTAAGAACTGGATCAGGGTAGTCAGGATGCGGAAAAGGGAACCCATGGTTTACTTCTGCCCTGCAAATGCGGCATTGCTGTGAGGAGAAAGCAGGCTGACTTACACCTCTCAGCCCCACACCCTGCTAGGGGAGAACATGTGAGGAACCGCAGCAGAGATGCCCATACAGCAACGTGGAGACACCACGTCTAGGTGCAGATCTGGGGAGGTTTCACTAAGGAAAATGCCTAAAATCCCCTGCAGAACTGACAGAAATCATCAAGAATGTAGGGGGCTGCTGAGCCACTCCTGCCTGCACACAGCTGAGGGCATGGGATGTGTGCAGCGCGAGCCTGGGATTACATCTCCATGGGTACAGGGTTATGTGTTTGGGCAAGGGGGGATGCCCTAGTGGCAGTCCCAGAGGGACACTGCATAGTAGGCAGCAGTTAGGAGGAGCAACACTGGACTGCAATAATGCAATGACTGGGGTGTGTAAAGAAACTAGAGCTAAGTGTGGCAGCAGATAACCTGAAGGGTTCAGCTCTGCTTTTCCAGGCTGCAGAATGGGCCAGCGTGTCCCCAGGCAAGGATGGGGAGGAATCGGCATACACCTGGGACACCTGGCCCAGAAGGGTCCCAAAATTCCACACCACAGCTACCAAAACCCCTCTGGGATCTTTTTGTTAGGGACTGAATCATTGCAGACAAGACCCTGCACAGAGACTCTGACAGGCCTGAGCTGGAGGCAGCTCTCCTTTGGCTGTAGGGCTGCCCTAGGACGCCAGTGCTGCCCACAGGCTGGGAATAGCCCTGCCTTCTGGAGCTCAAGAAGGCTGTCAGATCTGAGCAGCAGAGTCTCTCCAGGGGCGCAAAGCCTGGCATCCTCTGCAGTGGGGGACATCTGATGGTAGTTCTCAATCTCTCTGTATGCAATAGTTCAGTCTCTCTGTGTGCACGTGTTAAGTGCACTCAGTTCTCCGTTGTTAAATTCCTGCACTCTGGCCTCCAGCCTCCTGAGTAACGATCTGCACCACCCCTTCCACACCAAAATCCCTCTTGCACCATGACAGCAAAGCCATCTCTGTCCTTCCACCTCCTCCTGCCACTGGCCAAGAGACAGAGAACATCTAGGGGGAGAAATGAGGGATGAGAAGAGTGAGGAAACAAGAAACAAGCCAGGAAAGAGCTTCACTCCCCGCGGCATCCTACCTCCACCCAGAGCTGAGTATTGCTGCTGCAGGCAGGGATGAGCTGGTCGCTCCCTCTCCAGCAACCTGTTTGGTCCTACATGGGTAATGCACCATGTGGATCCACTGCTGGCCACCCCAGTCTCGTACCTGCTGCCCAGAGTAACTGCCCTCCTCTCTGCTTGTCCTTTTGGGTGCTCTTGCCAGGGGATCTTGTTCATTTTGTGATCAGTTCAGAAACCACTCACTCCCTGATCACCATTCCCGATGAGATCAGGAGCTGTCAACTCTACCAGCAAAATGAGCACATTGCAGCATTTAAGCACAAGGAGTACCATGGAGCTGACTGCATCCACCTCTCAGAGCAGCCTTCACAGGTTCTCTGCACCGGTGTAACAGCATCCTTAGAAATCACGAGAGGCAGCAACTACTGACAGCTGCTGAGACCAGCTCTGCTCCCATTCCCCGCCAGCGACCAGGGAGAAGGTAACATCACACAAACAGATTACAATTGTGCTAGCGGTGAAGCCAACCTTCTGATCTACAGAAATGATAATAAATAATAAAATAACATCATAACTTAAGATCTGTGTGTAGTCCAGCTACAAAAATTTAAAAATATGGGATAATTTAAACTCATACAATACTGCTCTCTGTATAAGTAAGACATTTTCCTTCACTTTGCCATGAGGCTATAAATTACCACAGTTAAATTCAAACCAGTATTTTAACATAAAATGTAAACAAACAAAGCAACAGAAGTACCTGTCCATGGTCCATTCCTGCCGTTCAGCTCAGGCTGGTGTGCCAGTCTGCAGAGCAGCACCCAGCGTGCTAGGAAGGGCAGAGTGAAAGCTCTTGCAGGGGGACATCAGCTAAAGGGGAGGGGTGGGGGAGGAATCGTGCTCTATCGTTTTGTTCTCTTTAAATATTGTTTTAGAAGAGTAGTGTTTGAAGGGAAGGCACTATGAGTTCTATCAGAAAACAAATTTTTCTCATCTGCCAATGCCTCGGCCTGTCATAGCAGTACTATCCTCACTTTCACCTGCAGAGTTTCAGCTTAAAGGAGAAACAGAGGCCTCAGGGTGCACCTGAGACACAGCTGTGCCATAGCTACCATCAACATTCCCTGTGCAACCCATTTTACACAAAGCCTGACATGAAGGGCAGGCAGCTGTTAATGCTTTCAAGAATGTACAGTGAATAAGGAGACAGAGCAGGGCTGATGCTCTTAATCTAGGCCAGTGATTCCCAGTCTTCCCCCTCAACACACAGCTCTCTGCTGGTTATCGATGCTGTTGTAGGTGAGAGACTGCTTCTCCAAGTCCAGTACAGGCATCTCCAGTTTCCTCCCCAGAAGAGTGCTCAGGCTCTGCAGAATGTGCTTTCCATGGTTTGCAAGTTCTTGCTTTTCCAACACTGATTTGATTGATTATTTTGACTGACTGAAACAGACAGGAGGTAAGAGAAGGAAGTAAACTGGGAAATGGCACACTGCATCTGAAAGAGGTTTCCCTGCTCAACTGGAGATCGACACTGCCAGAGTGAAGCAAGGACGATGTTAAGAAGTGCTCTTATACCAATTCTCGAGAGGACGAGGTTAGAATACATTTGCAGGATCTCACAACAAAATGCTGATTAAAAAAAGAAACTAAAAATCCTTAAAATAAAACCCACTATTACATTCCTGGGGATGTATCAACTCAGAAGACCCTGGAAGTTAGCACCTCGGTACCAATTTTCTCCAGGAACACGTCCAACCTTCTGATTAAAAAATGACCCAGCTGGTTATACTGAATACGCTTTGTTCACAGGTTACCCTATAGTAAGGTCTTTTTATGCTTCCTCATTTGATAAGACTGAGTGGTTTAGTTTTCTTGATCTGTTCTCCAATCTTCAGGGCCACGAGGCCTGGTCCCCTGTGAAAGCAGCAAGAGAATCCCCCCGCGTCTGTACACAAAGCTGTCCAGGCAGGACTCCCAGGATGTTTCTCTGTTATGTGCTTGCTTTCTGAACTTATTTTTTTTGCAACGAGTCTGTGTGTCTATAAATACAATCCACTC